GAAGAAGAAGAAGAAGAAGAAGAAGAAGAAGAAGAAGAAGAAGAAGAAGAAGAAGAAGAAGAAGAAAAAGAAGAAGAAGAAGAAGAAGAAGAAGAAGAACCTACGAGAAGCAATCTCCAACCCCCCACACGTAACGCCTGACACAGAAAGTGGAGACGAAAGCAGACGGCAGAACATTGGTAGAGAGAAGGAAAGGAGGTGAAAGCAGACGGCAGAACATTGCTAGAGAGAAGGAAAGGAGGTGAAAGGAGACAATTTTAGAGATGAAAATGTTTCCGTCTCTTCCCGGATTCGATTACTGCCAAGAGCAAAATGCTCGCAGCGAAAGGGATTTGAAAACAACAACAACAACACGGATTCGAACCCCAACCCGGATTCGAACCCGGGACCTTTGAGTGAGAGTTCAGAGAGGCAAACACCCTAACCTCTGGGCCACGAAAGCCCCTGGTGCTGTGTTTGTGTGGGAGAAAACTGGTGGGCGGGCAAGCGAAAAACAGGAGATCTTCAGAGGAAGAAACCCCTTCGCTTCAAGGAAGTGTTTCGGCCCTAACTACCTGACACTCTAAAGGGTGTGTGTGGAGGGGGGGGGACACACACACACACAGGTCATGACTCCCAATTGCTCTGTAAGTAACACTCTGCTGTTTGGTTCTAACTGCACGTAGATGATGAAAACAACCAATCTTAGAAGGATAAGTCGGGTCCCTCGTTTGCGCGCGGAATCAGCGGAATGCGATGATAAGCCCTAAACGACTTCCGGGTCGAATGTTTGTTTGCTTTAGTAAGGTTTTACGGCGCTCGCTACAGCATGAGGCCATATATGAGCGCCAAGGAGTGGATGCCAACAGAGAAGTACAACCGGGCAATCAGGGTAACTCTGCTCACCTCTCTAGCGTCAACAGGTCAAATTTTATTAAACAAAGCAGAGATCTAATAGTGTTGATAGGGGCGTTAAACTCATACCATTTCACCATTTTCACCAGAGATCCCCAACAAGTTGACACAAAGCCTACATCGTACACCGCACATTTAACTTTGTTTTAGTAAACGCTTCACAGCACTTGCAACACAATTAGGTCATATATGTGTCAAAGATTAGAGGTGTTACAAGAAAGTGACAAAAAATATAAAAAAGGAGGAGAGATAAAGACGACAGTTGTTCGATAGGAAAGAAGGAGCAAACTACACCAGAGCACCCGCCAACCACCTACAAGGACAGATGTGGGGCAGGAGAGCCAGAAGAAGGCAAAGAATAGCATGGATGGACACCATAAGGACATCGACTGGCCTGGATATGGCAGAATGTGCAACGGCAGCTCGCGACCGTGAAAGATGGAGGGTCATTACACGTCAACCTCTGAGTCAGAGATGACACATCCAGGTACCCATGTAATACAAACATGGCCTCTAGCTAAAATTAACCCACAATCTTGAAAGAGAACGACAATCGAAATTCACAGGTTTGGAGTACTCCGAAATCCGTCCGTCCGTCCGTCCGTCTGTCCGTCCGTCCGTCCGTCCATCCATCCATCCAT